ATTAAAAAAATAAAAACCTTGTTTGGTTTCATGTAATACTCTTAAAATGGTACAATAAACCTTAAAAATTTGAAAATATCGTTTTTAGATATATTTATGAATTCCAATGTTCAGTTTGGTGAATCACTCTGTATATTTAACTAAAATGTTAAATTATTCGTAAAGAAAATTGTAAATGTTAACAACTGTGTTAGATTTCAAATTTGAATACATGTTACATGTAATATAGACACAGATGATATTGATAGTTTATACAACTTAAAGCTTCTGAGCGTTCCCTAAACTTTTTCACTGACGTTTTTATTAGATATAGGAGAAATAATTGTAAACTCATTACAAGAATAAATAAAATAAAAAATTGTTATTTGCACGTGCACTTTTATTTTTAGTTTCTAATAGTTTCGTCGAAATTAAGACAATTTCATCGATGATTAAAATATTTCATACTATAATAATACGTTACACTGAATAAGTCATAAAGTATAAAATATTTTAATTGTTTACATCTTTACTTGTGAAATCAAAAGCTTTGAATTTTTTTGAAAACTTATGAAAATTATTATTATGTGTTGATTAGATTTTGGAACACAAGGCACTTTCATTTTTGTGGTATACAGCAGAGTTATTACTTTGTTAACAGCGTTTCTTTGTTTAAAAAAATTACACAATTTATTTAATTGAAATGTATATGAAGAACAAGAACATAATAAAAATAAATCGCAAGTAAAACTAAAAAGCCATACAGGTCGAATATTGTGACGACACTGGCTAATGAACAATGACTGCGTGCTTTATTTGACCGTCAATTGTCATCTTAATTGAAAAAAAACATTTAATTTCAACGAACTACGGCTCATAAAAAATACATGTATTTACATTTTACGGTGCTATTCAGACCAGTGCGTACGCAATTAAGTAATAAGAATTTTTTTAAAACTATAGAAGTTTATTTTACAGTATAAAATTAATTTTAAATACTATAAATGTCATTGTAATTGTAATATTTATTACTTCAATAAAATAAAAAGACGAGTTCAAAAACTCCTCGAAACGCTGCTTTAGAAATGTAGTACCTATATTAATTGTTCAAATTTAATAAATATGTAGAAACATAATTGTTTAAAAATGTCACTAATAAAAAGTAAACTAATTAATCATCATCCAAAATAGCAATATTCATTACATAGGTATTGCATAGACCATACATAAAAGTTATACATTAAACAATTAATCTCAACCATTCGAAAATAATATAAATGTTTCATAACTTTTACATTACTTTAAAAAGACTTCAGAAATAGAAAAATATGGTTTATCTGTCCATTCTATTCTGTCTGTTCTGTTATATTCTGTCTATAACGTCTGCCAGGCCGTTTCATATACATGGTTAGTTAAATAACTACATATTATATATATATATTATTCATACTGTTATATTATTTTTTACACAATTACTTTTCTTTCTTTTAAGTTACTTAGTTACGTTATATTAAAATAAATTTCTTTATAATATCTTAAATAATACAGTTTTCATATTATCTCTCATATATCAATCATAAACACCCAAAAAATATACCGCAAAACTTGCAACTATAACAATCTCATATATAATAATCACATAATAATCTCTTTAGTTAAAACCTCTTAACTCTCATCCATCTTATTAGGTAGTGATTTGTACTATTTCGTGTTACTGATTATACCCATGTTTGCATTAATTTAAGACATGTCTTTATCAAATTTATGATACATAGAAATCACACATAAACGCATATAATATATATAATATACATTTAAATTCAGTGTAAATACATTTAAGACATCAAGATAAGTTTAATATTATATAATACAATGCTATTGAAGTAACAAAAGTAGTAAGGTAGTATTATCGTTCATAAAATTCACTCAGATGTGTTTAAACAAAATATATTATACGCCAATGGAGCATATGTATATTATAAGAAATATACTCGTATAATTATATCCATACATAATATATTATATTACTCGTATATATACAATATACATCCCATTCATGTTTAATGTTCATTTACACATGACAACGGACAGTACAATAGACAGTTGTAGGAGATAAGAAATAGGAATATTATTCGTACACACATCTTGATTTCATACATTTGCTCTCTTTGTACTTTTTATTTTATTTTTTTATTTCTTATTCCTATTACAAAATATGTTAGATTACACACTTTTATTTAATTGAGTTGGTTCATTGACGTGATACAATATAAATAAATCCATAATTTGTCATTATATTTTTCTGAGAATAAGTATTTTTGTACTTAAAAATGGTGTAATACCAGCTTTCTTTACTATTGTATAATATCATGTACATAATAAATACTATTCATGTGCCGGTGTCCCAAAAGACGACGGTTTTTGACTCAATATCTTATAACGACAACGCAGTTGTTAGGTTAATAACAAGTTTATTAAAATTGTTCATATTAAAATTTTTAATCTGTATTTTATTTAAAAGTTCATTTCTTGTTAAGTGAAAAATGTATAGGTAGTCTTAAATAAATAGTTAAAATATCATATCACACATTTTAGTGAATACTGAAAGATTTGATTGTACTGGTCGTTTTTTGAGCGACAAATAATTATTTTAATTATAGTTTTCCGGTCATTTGTAATGTGTTGTGTTTTGACAAATTTATTGCATTCTTATCATACTACATTAACGTGATAACAATTAGAGAATAAATTATATGATTGTAGATCAAATATTGACTAACTAATCATGTATAAATATATAGATTTAACAAAATAATAATAAAATAAGTATAACATTAATTTGTAAATATTTTATAATATTTTAATGATACCCTAATTGGAATTTATTAAATACGAGAGTTAATCATAATATTATTATTTTTTGAATAAATTATATTCTTTGTATTTTGGGTTGATCAATATTGTTGTGGTTATTTAAGTCTTACAAGAAATGAGAGCCTTTTTTCAATATACTTTAAAACTCTTTAGCATTACAGATGTGTTTCATGATAAATAACATTATACTGAAATATACACATATACATTAATTCATATAGTCCTTACATTTCTTAACATTAGAAATTCCATTTCATTCGTTCTAGTTACGTGCATTTTTTTTTTTTTTTTGGCCGGAAAATTAGGAAAACCATTGTTGAACAAATGTAAAATGTAAAATGTAATATTAATAATAACAATTTATTTTCAAAGTTGTGTTTATTCGAGAAGTTCCTTTTATACAGAAAGCTGTGTCATTATTTACAAACATGACGCAGTATATACCACCTTCGTGTATTGTTACGAAATTATATTGTTATAATAGCGTTGATAATTATTAGGAACCGAGGGTGAATCAAATGACAAATGAGCCAAGATTTTAGTGAGTTGGGAATGGGCTTAAATACGTCGAGAGATTTTGTAGTAAATAAACCTGTACAAGGTGATTTGAATAATTGTAAGACTTAATATATTATTATTATGTAAATGCGTACTCATAGTATTCAAAGTTTTACATTTATTTATTATTATTATTTATTCTGGCTAATAGAAACGATCTGAATAGTTACATTTAAAACCGTAAACATCGAATCAATAATTTGTTTTGATTTTTACTGCTATTATAACGTATTGCTTACCAAACCATACTAATTATTATTACCTATTATTCCTAAGTATTTGAACACTTTTCATAATCATAATTAGATTTATTTACAATAGAAGTGTAGTAAAATCTAATATTGCAAATTTGCAATTTCCGAATCTTCGCAGACGCCAGATGAAATATGTTATATATTATTCTCCTGCAGGATTGTAATAAATCACTAGTAGACGCTTTTTTCGTTTATAGGTAAATGAAAAATCATAGAAAACGTCAGAAACTTATACGCTTACAATATTATATAGACGTAAGCACATTTTCATGTCGAATAACAAAAAATGTTCACCAAAAGTCTTATATACGTATACTACAATAAATATTGGTAGGTATACGTGCGCGTAATATTATTTCGAATATCATGCTTACAAGTATTATGTTGTACAATGTACATTGTATATGATATATATGTATAAAATATACCAATATATATATTTATTAAATAATATTACGTCACTTAATATATTTCACTTGTTATTTATTGATGTTCAATGGAAATGTGCAAACTGTGGGTCGATTCGACTGTGGAGAATTCGTTACGTTACGATGATATTTGAATAATACCAAAAACGAATTGCGTGCGCCCGTGTGCGTATGTGCGTACGTGTATACATAAATATGTATTTTTGTCGGGTAAACAAATATCATTGTTGATCGTTGTGGCGAATTGGTATGTGTACGTGAAGCACGTAGGTAGATAGAGCCATATAGGTATTTTACCGATCGACGAGCTTGTGTAAGGTGGATTGGTAGAGGCGGTAGAAGGGTAAAAGTATAAAAAAAGTAAATCACACACGTATCGACAGTAATCCGCTATGGGTGAAGATTTAGTGGAACTTTTGTGAGGAAGAAGTAACATTTTTAAAAATTAAGTTGACATTTAAATGGACGAATATATTTTCATAATCTTAGCTAACATGTCTTATATACTTTTGTTATTTTTATCTAAAATATTACTTATTTACAAAAGATACAATAAATGAATAATATCAGTTAAATTTCGTATCAAACATAACATTTTTGTAAAAGTGAACCATAAAAAACAACTTTTTATTAAATATTTTTGATCAGGAAAAAAGACATTTGTGGAATGAGACGGGTTGCGGAAAAAGTTGACTGCAAAAATTGTCCACTTAGGACTTCAACTTATAAAATAAATAATCATTTAAATACTACAATTATGTTATCCGTCAATTTTTTGATAGTCCCTACTAAGTTTCATCACATGTCCTGGTGGGAAAATAATGATTTACAATACTATTACTATTATTATTAGATTTATATATTTTTATTCGTCCATGCTAAATATGTATTTAAAATTTCAACCTACCTCTGCATATGCCGGCCGGACTGTAGTAGTCATCGTACTGGCATACCAGACCTTTCCTTTGGTCACACACGGCAATGCCGTCGCACGGGTCTCCATCCTGTCGGGCGCATACGGGGCAGCAACCGCATCCGTCGCGGGTGTGTGGCACGCCCGGTTCGCAAACCGGGTCCCTGTTGGCGCACTGGCACGGGTAGGCGCAGTGGGACCGAGCCTGTGTATGGGTGAAAAAAAAAAGAAAGATTATAAGCAAAAACTAAAAAAAAATAACAACAATCAAAAACATTGTTTGATAGAACATTAATTTATTGATTGTCTACAATGTTTAATATATATACAGTTAATCGGTTTAGTAATAGGTACGATATAATATATAATATACCTACGTGAATACGTAATAAATTCAATGACTGGGAGTGGGTGCACCTAAACGCTTAACGATTTGGTTATACAAGGTGTACTTGAAATGACTAACAATCATGTAATAACTGTAATAACTGAATAATTTAGTTGTTCTTCTGAATATTAAATTTTTAAAAATGTATAGTTATTAATTATTATATTATGAAGGTGAGACATTTTTTTTTCTTAACATAAATTAGAAAAAAATTATTAGGGTAGGTATATACAATGTACATATAATAATATAATTGCATAGTAAATTGTATTTGAAGTTACACTGTGTAATACTCGTATATCCAAAATATATTTATATTTATAAACACATGGTAATTTACCAAGCATGCTTACCCTATTTTTCTAATTTGGAAGTGGATTAATTAAAATTTTGATTTTGTAAATGTTTAAATATACTTAAAGATCATATTTTTAAATTATTGAGATTTTTTTTACTACTTAAAGAATGTTTTATGTCGTAAAGACTTTCAAAAAATTATTCGCTAAATAGTTTACAATAAAAAAGGAGTTTCTCTTTTGAATAACGGAAGTTTGTATTCCTACAAATTAGTCTGTAAGTAGCATAAAAAAATCTTAAGAATTTGAAAATATGGCGTTAAACGATTTCAAAAATAAGATATTTAATAACTAATAATTGAAAAAAAAGTGGCCGAGTATGCTTAGTGAATCACCCTGTATAAATGAACAATGATGACGGGCAAATCTACCTACTAAGCTCAGTGTGGGAGGGAGGTGATAGCGGTGCGTGTTGTCAGCCGCCGGATATTTCTCGGACTTTGCAGGGTCACTATATTTAATACGGACATACATAATGTACATATATATTATAGATACCTCGTGGCTTGGGCAATAAAACAAACGAAATCCACCCTCTCGAACAGTTCAACTTGCGTACGGAAATTTATCTGTTCGGCCCGTTTTGTGCGAGGACGATTGTCCAGAGTATTATCCCGCAGACTTTTGCAGTTTAATTTCCGTCCCGATCGTCATAATATTATTATCACACAACGAATTTAAATAATATAATCGATGTTCCCGTTGTATGCTTACTTACGTGCAATAATTTTAAGTTTTTCAACTTAAACGTGTCAGATAATAATATTTTTAGGAGGCTTCGATGAGGGTTTTATTTTTTGTTTGAAGTTAATTTATTTATTTTTGTTTGGAGGAGGGGGGGGGGCTCAGTTAGTATGTCTCGTCATTAATTGCGCTTGCGGGCCCTGCGCTTACCACGCCAAAAGTCGGCGTGCGCGTTTCTTAGACACATCGCTTTGGCAACTACCGTAAATAGGTCGTCAAGAATCGTTTCGGAGCGGCGGCGAGCCAATTTGGCTCATGATTGTCGACGCACCGTTCCCAGTTGCTATCAATAAGTTTTAATTCTTAATGTCTCATACCATCTCACACTGGCTTATTATACATAATATATTATAATATAATAGTCAAAATATGATCGATGGGCTCAGTCAGTGACAACTGACAAGACGCGCACACCTATATATTCACATTAGTGATTTTGTAATTTCGCCAAAACTGATATTATACTGATACGATCGTGTTTGTAATATTCTGGCATGTGTATTACGCATGCGTATTTACATTGCAAATTACAATATTTGAATATTTCAGCACAATATCATTTTATCCGAAAAAATTAGGTTGACATTTTTTTTTTTTTTTAATAATAATTATTGTTTATTTGATTATTTATGTGAGGTAAATAGTTTATATTTAACATTATATCACTGTTACTATTTTCATATCAAAATATTAACGTTTTGATTTATTATATGTGATTTTAAGTTATTTAATTCACAATTTCATAGTTATGGGAAATAATACTTTTATTGTTCTAGTTGAAAATATGTTAATTTTAATTTTATGTTAATGTATGTGTTAAATAAATGGAAAAAAATTCTGAAATACAGTAAATACATTGCATAATATACTGAATATAATTTATTCATAAATACTATTGTAATAAATAATATATTTTATAGAATATTTAACGTTTGTTTGCAACCATATTTTATATAGTAGGTAAATACGAGTGTGATAAAACATAAGTCAAACATGATAAAAAAAATGTATATATTTGTTTCGTTCTTCGTTTGGAGGATACTGTACGTCTGTACATTTGTTGATCGTACAGAAACATATGAAAATTGTACGTTTTTTATGACGCAAAGTACCTAATACAATATGTGAGAATGTTATTGGATTAAGATACATGAAGAGATTTACACGGTGCTTTATGTCAGACGAAACATGTTCTATTGAGAATTTCCTATCGGTACTTTTAAGTATAGCGATTTATCTCGATGCACGGTTTAATGCTAATCTCATTTTATCGTCATATATTATTACTCGTTAAACTCAAAAAGCTTTTAAACTTGGAAAATATAAGTAATAATAATAATAATATTGTAATTAGATAGTAGGTACCTTTTTAATCTCGCACGCCCATTTTTTTTTTTACCATTCGGTGTGAACCGATTATCACGATTCACTTTTTTATTTTTTTATTATTTTTTTTTTTTTATCAAGTAATTTGAGCTTAGTATCACTTTTAATCCCATTACAAACATACACTGCAGTATAACATAGGCTATACGAAAAATGTATTTTATATTTTCTATTAAAACTTTGTTTCGTTACGAATTTCAAATAGATACTAATAATAATGATTTTTTAACAACCATGTAAATATACTGCAATATACAATTTCTATCTACTAAGTATTAAGGCAAATATTGTCATTTGGGTATTAAGTGTAAATAATTTTAAATAAAGATTCATTTTTTTGAAATTTCATGGGTTATTAGGTTTTTAAACATAGGTACACTCTATGAAGTTATATAGGTACCAATTATGTTAGTCTACTTACCCGTTCGTAGTTTTAAATACTTGGCTATTATTGTCGATTTAGTCAATGAGGAGATAGATAGTTATTATTCTTAACATTATTATCATAAATATTATTGAAATATAATATAAATATTATGGTTTTACAATAAGGCTTATTTAAAGTATAGCAAGATCAAAGACCAACAATCGGTATCTGGAGGAATTTTTAATATATTTGCTTGTATGATATTATAAACTATAATTAATGCTTATGTTTTGTTATTTTATAAAACTAGATAAAATTTATTTATTTATTTTTAATTCACTTTTAAGTTATAAAAGAATCGTTATAAAATAATGTATTTATCGATATTAAAAGTAATATGGTAAATATTTAGGTTTCTATACATAAGTACAAAATGGGTTACAAAATTATTCTAAAATTGTGTATAGAATTTTAGTTTATTGTTTAAAATATTTTAGAAATCTGGATTTTATAACAAATAACTAATTATAGGTTTTATAATTTTTAGTTTGATAAATTGTGTAATGGAGTTTCTTATTTTTTTTCTATTTGTGTTAATGATTTATATGATTTCTTTATTTAAAGGAGATGTTCTATTCCTAAGAAGCACAAAATTAAGTAAAATATAGTACATCTGTTCAATGGGATACATGTTAATATTTACATTAATTAATCACGTTAATGAACTAATAATAATAAAAAATATAATATTTTCGTGATAATCTTTGATATGAGCAGTCATCCATTAATGATAGTCACGGTAATAATATAAAATAACCTTAAAATGATTATTTTTTTTTTATTTCATTAATTCCGACATAACATTATAATAATGCACTGCTATTATGGACCGAAATAACAAAAACGCCTTGTGTGCTCAAAAATTAGTGCCTATATCCTGATTTTTTTTTTTATTATTTTAAATTACGTTGTTTGTAATGTAATGCTAATATGCCAATTATAATAGTAAAAAAAAAAAAATCGCCTTCCCGTCAACAATATTATAGAATGTGGATAATTAATAAAAACTTAAATGAAACTTTTTAATCTGCAGGAACAAATTATATTATACATTTATACGAGTCTATTGTACCTATTATGATATACCTACATAATTAGCCTTTTTTTTTTTTTTGAAAAGACGTGATTTAATATTAAATATTAGTGACTTGTGGATCACTGTTAAAATATTAAGTTTTGACATTGTATGTTCAATGTTTATACTATACTTATGATATAATATGAATAGAATATAACAATTACAATTTATTATAAAATGAAAAATCTTAAAGTTTTGTGTAAGAGTTTTTAAAATATTAATAATATTGTTATATTTTGTTTGTTATTAAACATACAAAATACATTTTTCTACTTAATCATAAACACTGTTGTATAATATCCTATTGATAGGACAGACAATACTTAAGATTTTTATTTAATACAAATAATCGATACAATGCGTATTATGTATGATTTTGTTTAATACAATCATATTCTATATAATATTAAGACTTTTATAATATCTGAGTAAATTTGTAATTTTTAATAAAAATAATTTTTTAAATTAATAATTTTGTCATTTGTTTAAAGAAATTAAGCTTTATTGCAAAAAGAAGAAAATAATTGAGTCTATTTATATAATTTAATTTTCTTTATCTCAAGCTAGTTATTTTATTTTATTATACCAAGGGTAACGCACTACAATAGAGAAACCATCCGAACTAAACTTCTACAGTTGAATTATTTATATTTTTTTTATTCATCACAAACTACTTTATATGATATAGAATGCTCGTATTAGATTTAAACCTATTATCAATATGTAATATTATACATACTTATAGTATTAAAAATATAACCTGAGAAATTAATAATAAATAAATTATACTAATTTTTATTATGAATTTCATTTGAAAATCATGTAA